AATCCATTGTTGCTTGAGTTGTATCAGCTTTGCAAGATCATCTGCAGAGATGGGATAATTCCTGGCATCATGTTAAAGTCTAAGTTCTTGGAGAATTTAGTGAAACTTCATGAGCTATAATTCCAATAGTATATGGGAACTCTGGCAATCTTCAGCTGCCATTTATTGCTTTCATGTTTAAATCTTAAATACCAGATCTACTCTCTTTAATTCAGAGCTCCTATCCTAGTATGTCTTTGGATCACTGAATTCCCAGTTTGACTTCCCCACTAGAAGAAATGCCATGAACTCCGTGGTCACTGTGTTGCCTACGTCTGGTGCCATACAACATATGGGTGGGTGCTCCGTGGGTGTACATCTACTGGTTTCAAGCAGATGTACAATGGAGACTGGCTTCAGTTTATAACCTATTTATTAGACTTAGAGATCCTTTAGTAACTCAGGTCTTTGGAAAACTTTCTTAAGAATACTAAGGATTAGAGGCAGTCTATAAAATAGGAATCCTATTCACTCACCATATTGGGAACTATATTAAGTTGTAACACATGAAGTAACATGCAAACATCGTTGATCACCAAGGCTTTACGATTTCCCTTGCTTGGCAAGTTTCACTTCCCCTCACATACTCACACCCAATTCCCAACATTATGTCTAGACCTATTAAGACTCCTGGACTTCAGGGCTAACCCATATACCCCCAGAGGGTGGCAGATCAGCCATTCCTAGCGGATGGCCCCATTCTGTAGTTTCTTTCCCTAAAGTTCTCTCTTCAATACAGGGCTAGGCATACTCATTTCCATAGCCATACAGCTTTAGAGGTTAACGTTCAAAGCAGGCAAAGGATGTCTGAACAAACATGAAGAAATTTCTAGCAGAATCTCTGTACCTACTCTGACAGCACCTAACAGGCACTCTCTTGCTTAATTGTTAATTGAAAACCTCAAAATAACTAGCAGGCCCAAGTTTTCCTAGGAGACATCATATGAAAGGGAAACTGGGCTAAGTTTAATGTATCACCTGCCATCTTATTTAGCATCCACAGAGCTGTTAGTGTGTCTAACTCATTGGTAGAAACAGTGTTCAATGTTTTTATTTTGAGCCAACAGCAGAGGATAGCAAAGAGATGCTAATTTAGATTGATAAATACATAGAGTGAAATTGAGATAGTTTTCACTTACAAAGCCAAATTCTCTTAGACTTGACACTAAGTCCTCAGAAATATTACCATTCCTTAGATTTGCCCATCTTTAGCTTGGGACAGGGGTTTGTCCCTGACCACTTATTTCTGTTCAACAAGTACATCTCACCCATAATCTCAAAGAAAGCATTTTTTGGAGTGTATATCTAGAAAGTAGTTTGTGGCCTGGGTATTCTCTTGAGATCAAATTAGAAGGGAATAAATCAAGCAATTTTGAATCTATCAACTAACCACACGAAGGGCAGTTGATTTGGTCTAACCATGAGATGCTCTCATGAGGCAAGTATGCATATTCTGAGGATCATTATAGACCTCATGGCCCTGTAATGCATTTAATATCTAATAGGCTAGCATGCAAATGTGGCTTTCCAAAGGAAGGTCCCAATGCAAATTGAAGCTAATTGTAACCTGATATAGGTAACAGCCTCCTCTAGATCACTAGTCCCTGTATTGAGAAGAACATGATACACAGTCTGTGAGAAATAGAAAATGGCCCAGCTATTTACTATGAATTATCTATATTTCTATGTTGTGTGCCAAGTTTAAGGGTTTTTGGATCAAAACCTGAAGCCATATGGCCGGTTCCTGCTCTACTCTAGTTTTGTCATATCAGTTTGATACTCCTCCTGGAAAAGAAGGGGCTCACAAGGACTTTTCACCTCTTTCAGGACTATAACAAAAATTCAAGTCAAGCACATGGTTATTCAATTTTTATAAAAGGAACAAACACTTCAATCAGGGCTGTATTTCTTTTGATGATGGAGGCTGCCACCTTTGCTAGCTATGCTGAGTGTTTAAATATGCACTTTGTTGTACTGAAGTCTTAACATTTGACAGCTCTACTGAACTTGGCCTTGATATGCATGCTTTAGGTATCTGAAGACGTGAGCACTAAAAGCAAAAGTCAAATAACATAGGACAAGCACTACAGGTAAGTGCCAAGTGAAGGGAGCAAGAGGATAATTGAGGGGACAAAACTGTTTCAAGAAATTCTCATTGCCTACAAGGGCTTAGCTGGTTACCTGATTTTTCTTCCTTTTTTAAAAAAATGGTGCATAATTACACATAATGGTGAGATTTATTGTTTTATATTTTTAACAATATAATTTCTAGTGACTTGTTTTTAAAGTCCCTGTTAACATGCCCCATTCTTGGACTTAGGCAAAGATTACCATCATTATTGTACCTTCTCTTAGTTCTATCTAGACAGGTCAGGTTTCTTTTCTCAGTGCCTGTTTTTTTTTTTTTTTTTTTTTTACCTTTAGGTCTATTAATACTGCCAATTTTATATCAACCCACTCCCCACAATAAAAGAAATTTCTTCCTATTCTTCTGCTTGTTGCTAACCGTATCTGAATAGCTCTCACAAATCTTAATTCTTCTAGACTCTAGCCTTGAAGAATGTATGGTACCCCAGATCTTAATCCATATCTAGGTGGGAGGAAAATGTCCTAGAACCCCCAGGTAATTTGTAACCAAGTATACTAACTTCTCTTGCTGTCTTCACTTAAGCTCTTTGCCCTGAGTCTTGTGCATACCTGCCTTGTCCTACAGTATTCTGGACCAGCAAAGTAAGTGTGTGCTGGGGGGCAGGAGAGTTGGAGAGAAATAGTAAGAATAGAATACCAAGGGCAGAAAGTCAGTTCACATGTCCTGGGACTTTGAACTTAAGACAGGAGCCAGTCTGGGTTGGCTTGGGATCAATATCTGCCTCAGCCAAATTTGCTCCAGTTCAGAAAGGAACTACTTCTTTCCTTTTGACAAATTTAGGTTTGCACGGGTATCTTTTCCACTGTACACGGCATGTCCCTTATTTCACATGTAATAAAGGGATCCTCACCTATCTAATTCAAGACCAACATATGGCTTTGACGAATTCATTTCCACCGTTTAGGTGTATTCCTCGCATTCTACAGGGGAACGTTAACCTCTAAAGAAAAGTTAGTATTTCTTAAAATCCCAGAATATAAAGGGATGCGCAGCAAGAAAAAGAAAAAAAAAATCAATATTTTCCCTCACTTGCTTGGATAATTGTAGGCAGTTTCTGGTGTAATTTAGTGTTTTGAAATGTTTGCAAAAAATATAATGCAAGTCCTGGCACTATTCTGAGAGATCGTTTAATAAGTTAGTATTACTCATCCATCAATGATTGTTAATGTCTGAAAGGGCTTTTCTGGGCTCTTAGGTTCCTTCCTTACAGGTCACATTCCACCTTCAGGACACTCTAGCCTTTTTCAGAGTTCAGACAGAGGAAAGCCTTTGAGGTTACAGCCCGCTAGTAACCTGTGCTTTCTTACTTTCTCTTAAAGATAACATTTCTCAGGCAGCTAAATTAAGAGTCCGTGGAGCCACGTGACCCACCTAAACGCGATCGGGCAGCCAACCAATCGCAAAGAACTGAAAAGCCCGTCCCAGTTTCACACGCTCCGGACAGTCGAACCAAAGGGCAGGGGGCATTCGGAATTTTTACAAACCACAAGTATTGCCGGAGAGGCTGCTTGACCACACATTTGAAAGTTCACTCTCACTTCAAGAGACACGTGACTGCAGGCAGGCGGGCGGGCCTCCTAAGCCACCAGGCGATAGGAGGTAAGGACTCTGGAATGGGTATTAAGGGCTGAGACAGCTTTCTGTCCCCTTTCCCTAGAACTGGCTGGCAAGCAAGCCCCTTTGTGTCACGTCTTAAGATCACTTCAGGGACCCGCCAAGACACTGACCAAACCTTCTTAAGATAGGCTTGCTGTCGCCTGCTCAGGGAAGTTGTATGGCCCAAGTGGGAGAGTGGCTGGACACTGGACAGGGCTTCCAGGCCCAAGGCAGCTGACCCCCGGGACTCAAGGGTAGTCACCCCCGCCTTTCACAACAAGCCACAACCATACACCAGCTCTCACGCTACTCTTTTGATCTATTGTTTAGAATGAAGGCTAATTACAGTCATTAGATTAGGACTCGGTTCCTCTGGAGGAAGCCCAGTGAGAAACAGGATCGGCAAACTAACCTGATTAAGTCTGTGTCCAACCCCTCTCCCCCGTTCAGCTGCATCAGGAGCATGTACATATACCAAGAGGTTTCCATACGCCGCCCCGGAGTGGAAAGAGGTGTGGAGAAGCACCTCAAGGAGAGCCCTTTTGAAAGCCACACTCTAAACCGCAAGCCACAGAGAAGGCTTGGGGCCTGGGGAGTCGCAGTTGGGGTGCGCAGGCTGCGCACTTCTGGCGGCTCCGCGGAGCCTCCCGGGCTGCCGCCCACCGAACGTGCGTCAGCTCACGGCTGCTGGGGGACTCCCTGCCCCGGCCAGCACCTGGCGCCCCGCATCCTTGGAGATGCCCACCTCCATCCGTTGTAGGCTCTCACCCTACTTAAGTCCGAGGGGCGCGCCCTGGGCTGTCGCGCACCTCTGGGCCAGGCCCGGCTCTCTGCCTTCTTCCTAACACCCCGCCTGGCAGAGGAGGCAGAACCATTGTTCAGTGGCTCAGAAGCTCATAGTCCCCAGCCCCTGTCAAGGGTGTGAAAAACGAGGCAAAGCAGTAGCTCTGGGGGAGGGGGCATAAGGGAATGAAGACTAGTTCAAGCGAGGGTTTAGGACACCCAAAACCCCGCTGTCCCCCAAGCTCGGTTCCCTGTAGCCGAGGCGCTGACAGCTCAGAAGCGCCACCAGGGTGGGGAGGGAAAAGAGGAGAGCGGAGCGGCGCCTCCTAGGAGGGGGGTGGGCTAGAGAAGACCGACGCCTAGGGCCCCCACACATATTCCCGGCACCCTGGTTTGCTCCAGGCCGTCTGCGGAGGGGTGCGTCCCCACTCACCGGCTCCAGTGGCGCCGCTGTCCGCGGGCGCCCAGCACAGCGCGAGCAACAGCCAGAGCGCCCAGCGCGCGGACGTGCCCATGGTGCCCGCCTGGATGGTGCCGCCGCCGCCGCCGTTCGCTCCGCACAACAAGTTACCAGCCCTTCGGAAAGGAGGAAGGAGGTGGGGGCGGGGAGGGGGAAAGGGAAGAGGAGGGGAAGGAGTTAGAGGGGGGGAAAGGGAGTGGGGGAGAAGAGGGCACCCCCTCCCCTACAACTTGCACAATCTCCTCCCCACCAGCCAGCCCGCCCACCCACCCACCTCCCCGGGCTGCAGCAGCGGTGCAAGCCGAGGCTGCGGGCGGAAAATAATGCAGGCGCTGCAGAAGAGGGGAGGGAAGGGGAGGGGAGGGGAGGGTACAGGAGAAGGGGGGAGGGAGAGGGGGTGGGGAGCCGAGAGCAAAGGAGAAGACACCAGAGAGGAGCCAGCCGCGGAGCACCCACACTGGCAGCGGCTGGAGCGCGGGGTGAGGAGCCGGGAGGGGGCAGGAGGGGGAGTGGTCAGCGGGGGGGCGGTGGCAGGAGCCCTCCTCCTCGCGCTGGTCTCACACGCGCCAAGCAGCCGGGTGCCTGCGCCGGGGGTGTGCGAGTGTGTGTGCAAGTGTGAGCGTGCTTGCGTGAGTAGCAGTGGCCGCGGCTGCCGCCGCCATCCGGACTGCTCCAGGGGCCCGGCGCGTCCGCCCGGGGCTCACGGGGGGCCGGGGCGGCCGCTGGTTGGCTCGCGCACCGCCCTCGCCTCCAATCCCGGGTGCCTGTCCTAATTTCCTGATCCAGGGAACCTGCCACCGCAGCAGCTGTGCGCTCCCTACAGTCATTACTGTACCCTCCGGCAGCCGCCAACAGTAAATGCAGCAGCGGCAGCAGTTAGCGCTGATGCAACTATTGCTGCTATTGCCACCGCCTCCCCAATAACGGGGCTTGCAGCGAGGGGGGTGGGGGTGGGGGGGACGAGTTGCACCTTCTAGAGGCACCAAGCATCTCTCTACCACCCTCTCTACCAGAGGCTGGTTTGGGGCCGGTAGGTAGCGTCTTCTTGGGCCTCCTTTCTCCAACTAGAAAGTGACAAAGAGAGGGGGTTCCAAACGTTTGTGCTGCTCTGATGTGGGGTTCGGGATGCCTATCAATCGCACGCTGAGATGTCATTTTGCTAAAAATTAAATGTGTCTTTAAGTGAGAGAAAGAGAGAGCGAGAGAGCGCGCGGTTGTGGCTTGTTCTCTGTAATAGAACAAGACTAAAATAACCCAGTCTGGGATGGGGAGGAGGGAAATTGCTAGCGCAGCTCTGCATTCTCTCATCAACCATTATAGTTAATTGCTAATTGCACAAAATGATAGTTTGAGGGCCTGTAATTAAAAGCTTAACCTTTCTGGTTTGGGGGAAGGGGACCCCAGTAGATATTTTTTTTCTTGATACACTTTGTAACATTCAATTACAAGGCTTAAGGAAAGAAAAACGGAAGCAAAAGCAACACTCCTAGAAGGACTGATCTTTGTTTTGTGTCAAACAGTTCCTGAGCCTATAATTTGCTTTTTGTGCACTTCAGTTTATTTCGCCTGATTGAGGTGCGTTGTCTGTTGTGGCCCATTGAGCAGTTAACAAGAGTGGGAGTTATTGCACCTTCACTGAAGAGTTTTTATACTTTTTTTAAAGTTGTTTTTACCTTGAATGACTCAAACTTGGCAGATTTCAATAATATCATGTCCTGGCTCTATTCTGTTGCTGATCCGAGGAGTAGAGGACACTACCTAGCTGTATTCTCCTTGCCCTGGTTCTCCTGGGCATTTGTCAAAGCTAGTCAGCAGAAGGGATGTTTATTTGGGAATTTACCATCCCCAGGAGACAGAGAGATGAGGAAAATTCTGAGTCAGGATACATTTTGGTTTATCTGGGGTTTATCCAGATTGTGACTGAAAAACATGAAGTGGCTTTATTTGATGTATAGATGAAGACTTGTACTCCAGCTCATTGTGAATGCTACTTTGCTCATTCTGTAGTTACATGATCAATACAAACTGCAGGAGCCACACACATGTTGCATGTGAAACAAATTAAATTTGTGCCATTTGGTAGTGCAAATGCATGCTTGTGCTGTCCACCTCACAGGCACTGAGGTGAATGGTCAAACCCTAGGTGCATGATGTGTTCAGTTTTCTTGAGGTTGGGAAAAGGCCATTTCCACTTTACTGAGGACAAAAGGGAGTAGAGGGCATGGATGGAATCAACATGAAAAGGCACAGCATTAATAAAGAATGATGTAGTTTGTTTTTAACATTTTATTCAGTGAGAAATGTACACTACAAGCTAAACATTGATATAGGACAATAAGACTTATCTTTGACAAACATGTATTATGCTTTCTAGCATAAATAAACTGTTGGCAAACTTAGCTACAGCTCTGTGTTCAATCCTTTACCTTTTTGTTGAATCAAAGGGAAGTATAAACTCTCTGATTGGATGTGTATCTTGGAAAAAATCACTGGGTTTCTCTGTGCCTGCCTCTGACCTATAAACTGGAAAAAAAAAATCAACCCACATAATATCAGAGTGTTCTGTGGTTTCAAAAACCAGCTCTTTGCAAAGAGTAGATGAGACAAGAGAAAGAATGTATTTAATTGGTATAGAAAGTAACCAGTAGTAAAATAATAAGTCAATCATGAGTGGAGATTGATGTGGATGAACTAACCAAGCTTAAAGAAGTTGATACTGCTGGCTTCTAGAAGTGTTCCGGTAAATGCATAGGTAATCCCATTCTCTCCCACAATTCACCACATTCATTGGTTTGTTTAAGTAACACACACTGAACATCCCAGGAAGGTAGGTTATTTGCAAGGTCTTGGGCATATGGAGGCCGTTATCTGAGCGGCCTGAGAATCTGGTGGGAGAGACAAACAAGTAGGCAACTGCAGTGCTCCATTACTGAACGATAAGGCAGAGATGCTCAAGGGGCTATAAAATTGATTACAAAGAAAGAGCAGCTAATCTGGCTTCAGTATGAGGGTACCAGAAAAGGCTTTACAGAGATCTGTTGCAGAGCTGAGCATACTCATGATTTTTACCAAGTAATTTAAATTCTCCTCCTTCTGGACACATGATTGGATTGCAATACCTAGCCCCCTGATGGTTGGGTTGTTTTAAAGACTAACTTCGGCTAATTTGTGAGCAAAAGTTATAGATGCCTCTTCCAGACAGGCATTTATTCCTTGTGTGAGACTCCTTTTGTCTGTACGGTGACAAAAAAACATTCCAAAGGTGCTGTTTCATTAGCCCAGGTCTCTGAGTGACTCAGAACTACTCATCTCAGTAGCTCCTGGCTGCCTATATGTCTCTGGAAATGGCTACATACATTAGGGGTCAGCAAACTAGAACTCATGGACTAAGTCTAGCAAGTGATTGATTTTTATATAATCTATGAATAAGAATGATTTTTAAAAATATTTTTAAAGGTTTACAAAAAATATGGAAGAAATAAAAGAAAAAACAGCAGCAACAGAAACTATATATTGCTTATCAAGCCTAAACTATTTATCACTTGTCTTTATAGAAAAAAAAAACTTGTCAACCTTGACATAGAGTGAATAAGAGATAAATTCTGGCTTCTTCATCTCCTGATATTTTGTAACATCAGCATAACCTAGCATTTACCTCACTGAACACTTGGAAAGAAGGAAGGAGAGACCTGATGAGCAGAGGGAATTAAAGCACAAGAGCAGCATGTATTCTAGGCAGTGTAAGAGACTCAGGATGGGTAGACTCAATTGGACTAATGATGGGAAGTAAGGCAGAAGAAAAGGAAGGACAGGATTAGGTTGAGCCTAGTATGATACACAGAGACTTTAGATTTTATCTTATGAAGCATGGCAAGGCCTTGTTACAGATTTTGATCATAGGTCTCACATCCAGTTTTGTTAGTTTTTTAAGAAAGATTACTTTGTCAGTGATATGAGGGGTGGCTTCTTTGTGGGGTAGAGTAGACTAAGACTAGAGGAAGAGAAATTAGTTAGAGGCATCAGTAGTGAGAGAGTAGGTTAAAGAAAGGAGAAAAAGAAATTACTGTTCTTGGTACAGATTCCCAGGCCCTTCCTTGACCCTGAATCAGTAGGTCCAAGGTGGGGCCACGGGATCTGTATATGTAACTTTATTATAGTTGATTCTTAGGATTAGTCATGATTAAGAAACTATTTTAGAGAATAATTTCTTCAGTTTTAAATCCTATATAGCTTTACTTCTTTCAAATACTTGAAACATTATTTCTCCAAATTCTCTGAAAGGAGTAGGTTAGGGCCCACAGAAAAATGCTAAGATTGATGCTTGTCATTTCCTTTTCTTCAAAGCCCTTAGCCTCATAAATACAGGCCTCAGAAGTCATCTTCAAACCAATTTGCTAATTTATAGCACTGATTTCTGCAACCCCAGCATTGGAAGTCAGAAGTGAAAAAGAGCTATCCCCTTGGGAAGTTTTGTGTTGTTGTTGTTGGTTTGTTTTTTTTCAAAATAAACCTCTTTTTTATTAGTCCATTGTAGAATATTGGGGTTCATTTTGATATAATTATATGAACGTGGAATATAATTTGCTCCAATTCAGTCCCTAATATTTCTTGGGAAGTATTTTGATAGTGACTTCCCAAGTCTCCATTTCAGCATTTTCTAATTGTGTGATGGCCCAGTGAAATGCATACAATTCATTCTTCTCTCTGGGCTTCGCAGGTGGATGATCTGACGGCCAAGGTTTATTTAAACATGGATTGCTGAATTCCACTCCCAGAGTTTAGGATTGAATAAGTCTGGAGAGGGGGCCAAGAATAGATTTTTTTCTAACAAATTCCCATGGAATGCTGGTGCCAGGGAAGACCCTTTGAGAACCACTATTCTAAATCTGTATGTATAACTTCCTTCCTCACCACTGTGATTGGTCAGGGCCTCAACCAGTCAACCTGTGGCTTTCTCTGTCCACAATGATTGGATACTTAAGCTCTAAATACATCACCCAATTTGCTTCATTTGTGGTGAAGCTTAGGACTTTTTCTAGGGACTTTTAATTGGTTAGAAAGGTATTTACTAAGTAATGTGATTATGTGGGCATAAGGCCAGATCTGCTGGCCATTTTACCATTGTACCCCCAGGAAGGAAGTCAATTTGAAGATGAAACTGACTTTTGGAGAA